ACTAGACAACACCCAAGCCTGGATGAAGACTTATGCCCTTTACTCCACGTTATGTGACTGATGTCATGGCTGATAGGATATTCATTATTGATAACTTTTTGACAGGACATCACTTCAAAAATAAAAAATAGGACTATCCCTTTAATCATTTAATCATTTCAGCACATGATCCAAGTTTAATTGTAACAGATTCAGAAGACACTTTTTTTTAAAAGCACCATATCTCAAATTTACATGGATCCACCAAAAATGTAAAACAAACAAAAAATAAATAAATGTAAATATATATATATATATATATATATATATATATATATAATATCCATAGTAGTGTTGGCGAGGCCTATTATTTTTAAGGTAAATACCTTAATGATACAGTACAAATGCTTATAAGAAAATTCAGCCAGCAACTGCATTTTCTCATGACGCGCTATAACACAACACAGTAATGTTCTACTTGACACGTTTTGCTTTATCTCCTACTGCAAACAGCATCCCCCCGTGACGTGGGTGAAATCCGTTGTTTATCGTCACAGCAAGTATGAAGCGTCAGATAAAAAAAGTCACGCAACCATCTTCTGTGCGTTTGCTACTTTATGTTGATTTAGAAAACCGTTTTGTCCAGGACGACTTACAAGAATAGTAGAGTGCAGAGGAGTAAAATGGCTACTGCGCTGAGCTGCTTTACTGTGCAGCAGGTCATGAGTACAACACGTTTTGAATGTCATTTGGGAATTATCATGACTGAGCTCAACTCCTGTCAGAGAAGGACTTGTGAACCAATACCGGTGGTTCATAAAAAAAGCTCCTGGATTCATTATTCATTGACAGAATGAACAAAACGCACATGCACAAAATGTGATTTGAATTTGTCAAATGGCTTTATAAGACAGGAACATCTATTTGTATGAAAACTGGTGCAGACATACTGCTCTCCTTATACACAGGTGATGACTTTCTCACCAATTATCACACTGCTGTGTTTCAACACCACTCTGCCACCAGATGGACTCACTTTACACCTGAAGCTAGAGTAGCAACAAAGAGGTATCAGGTAATGATGTATTATCTACAATCGGTGGAAAAATTCCTATCTGTGATGCACTGAATCACATAGGTGGACAATTAATTTCTCCAAAGGGCTTGGACTGTTATGGAAGATTAAGGCGTAAGTTCAAATTTGCCAAGTGTGAGGTTTATAATAAATTAAAAAAAAAATGGCTTTCATTAGCTGCTTATGGTAGAATAAGACTGCAACGGGACAATTCAAATCTGAACAAAAATGTAATGCTTCTGAGCATACTTTTTTTTTTTTTGAGTGTCCACAGCTTTCCTTGTATGCATCCTTTTTTCAGGGTGTATAAGAGCAGCAGGATGAACTTACTTTTTTTAATGTTTTTAATATAAGATATCACATAACTAGTCTTGACTAGTCCATCAGATGCACAAGTGTTAGTTTAAAGATCTTGGTGCTGCTTTTGCGGTTAATGTTGCAACATTTCTATGTATGCCCACTTTGTAATTATACAAATGGTAAATGGACTGTACTTGTATAACGCCTTTCTATCTTATTGAGATACTCAAAGTGTTTCACAACACAATCTGTGCTCTCATTTACCCATTCATACAGCACTCTACTAGATCTGTACAAAAACTAATCAGAGCTTTATCCCATTCATACACCGATGAGACACATCTCGGAGGCCATGAGGGGTTCATTGTCTTGCCCAGGGACACTTGGGCATGCGATTGCTGGTGGAATTGAACCCCCAACTCTTGTATTGGAGGACAACTGCTCTAACCACTCAGCCACAGCCACCATATTTAATTATGATTTGACTGAAAATGTAGGTGCAAGCATTTATACTTTATGCTTATAATTCTGATGCTTTAATTAATTTTTAGTATTACTTTTTAAATAAAGTACTGCCATTGATTTTTATTGTTAAGCACTTTGGTAACAGCTGCTGTTTTTAAATGTGCTTTATAAATACATTTGACTTGACTTGAACAATTATTTGTGCAACACAAAATGTAAAATGACCAAGTCTGCTTAACCATGTCATGGAAACGTGCACAATGCACCAAGAATTAAGGTTCACAAATATTCTGCTACAGAAAAAAAAAAAAAACAATAACCAAATAAGATACTACCTCAAGACACACTTAACCTTTCAAACCACTCTTTGGATATTACCTTTCTTTTGTATTTGTTCAACAATCAACTTTTACCATTTATCACCAACTGGGGTCACCAATGTTTATTGAACTAAAATGTGTCAACACCCAAAAGCTTTATTCACCTGCTGTGCAAATTATGTATTTAACTTTTTCACTAGATTTTCCTAAATTATTTTTTTCAGCTGGTGAGCATTAATATGAAAAAATGAACAACTGCAGACAAGAAGTTCTTAGACTAAAATAATATTCCAGTAGAAACTGTCCAGATGACCTGACTGAAAAATGTTGGATTTTATATCTGGATTATTGAGCATGGACTTTGTTGTTAATATTCCAATAGTTTTTTTTTTTTTTTTTTTTGGTTTTTTTTAAAAAAAATTTTTTTTTTTTTTTTTTTACAATGTTGGACTTTAAAAGCATCTGCTGCAGGTAAAGCTACCTGATTACAAGAACAGTGCTGGATTAAACTTGGCCTCTGAAATTAATCTGGTGCTCTTGTCTGTAAATATGCAAGTAATTTTAGATTAGATTAGATTCTGAAAGTAACTACTGGTAATAATGGTTAAAGCACAATAAATGTATTTACTGTGGATGTACCATACAATTATTTTATTTCAGTGACTGTTTGGGATTTTTAAGTTTATGGATTACAAAACCCACCATGATTAATGGATAATGGAACAAAGATTACCATGGTATCAGTCAAAGCTTTGAGTCATATAAATTAGCTATAATACTGAACAGATGTACAGACAGGGCATGTTAAAGATTCATACAGCAAACTTTAATCTTTTTAACAGAACATCAAACTAGGACTTTCAACTGCTGCTTAGTGTGAAGAAAGGTTAATTGGCTTTGTAATTTAGAATCCCATACAGTGATGGATTCTGGGGAAACTGCAGGTCTCCAGCTTCTCTTCTAACAGCTGTGTAATTGGCAGACACTATACGCACACTTTTGCAACTAATCTCTAATCTTATTTTAGGGAGAAATCTTGCACATGTGGAGGGAGACTCTAAATGGGACAAAAATATCGTATATCTTGTTTCCAGAAATGTATGGTGGGGAGAGACCACTGGAATAGCTTTATATTGTCTGCAGAGAACAAGTGTGGTGTTTAGTAATGGATTGTTTTGCTCTGTGTCTCGCTCTGTTTTTTCCCCTGTAGGGTTGAAGCAGATCCATGCCTTGTCCATCCAGGGCAACTATGAGCTACGTATCGACTTGGAGGACTTTGAAAACAGCACGGCATACGCCCATTATGGTACCTTTGGAGTTGGCCTCTTCTCTGTGGACCCTGATGATGATGGATACCCTTTGACAGTCGGTGACTATTCTGGCAATGCAGGTATACACAACTGAAAGAACTCATCAAGGCTTTTCTTGTGAGATGTACCGTGCCTAAGCTTTGATTGGAATTTGACATTTTTGTTTCGCATTTGTGTGACACATCCAGTCAGCTCCATTTCCATTCCCCCCTCAAGTGGAACAGCAACAAGTTACTTTTACCGTACAGAAGACGTGTCTACTTGTTAAAACTGTGCAGTCGGTTGCACAGAGAGAGGTGCGGCTCACGTTTGTGTCTCTGCTCCCTGAACATCAGATCTAAGCCCGCTCCTTGTCACCTTGATTAAATTACTGCCAATTAATTGCACTGCTTGACCTGCAGCGTAAACAAAAACCTGCCACTAAAATGAAGAAGCCATTTGAAGATCCTGTGGGGAGTGCTGCTCTGAGAACACAGAGAGAACTGGGACAGATACGAGAGATGCAGCACAGAAGGAGGCATGCAGAGGAAGGAGGTGGGCCAGATGGAAACTAGGATAGTGGAGGAAAGGAGACAGGTGTTGGAGAAAAAGGGGGTATGCTGAAAGCTAAATCTGTAAGAGAATCTTGAAGAACACAAAGAACATTATTGAGCACATTGAGCATGCATCAGGATACAAAGAACATTAATTAAATAAAAACATTACATGGGAAGGAATAATTATTTCTAAACATATAGGTTAGGGTGCAGTGCAATAAATCCCTTATTGCCTCTGGATTGATCACAACTTGGACTCACCTTGACCTCATTTTGCCTGCTTGAATCCCCCCCAAAAATTAAGATAACCTGAGCTACCTTGTGATGCGTATAAGCCATGTTAGCTTCCCTGTAGGCTTTGCTGCTGTCCAGTCAGCTGACAGGTGCTCATTTGCACTGGGAGCTGCTGGATCCTAATAGGCGCCAGCCACCAAGGTGACACCCAATGCCTTGTAAATGAGCCTTTAAGTGCCACTATTGTTTTTTTCTCCTTTTTTGCACACCCTCTGGACATCATTTTGTTGTTGAGACCACTGGGGCTGTCTTCTTATTCTTTTATTTTTATGTATTTATTTATTTTTACTTCCCGCTTATTCTCATCTGCCATCTCTTTCTTGCTAATGTCAAACAGCTCACAACATGAGCATGAGACGTGGCTGTCATATTATTTTTCCAGCTGAGTGGTTACCATAGTAATGCCAAATGGAGAGTAGAGTGGGACAGAGTGAGAGGGTAAGGAGCTGGGCGGCCACATCCTGAGCAATTAAGGGATGTTTGATGCCCTTACGAGCTGTTAGCATTCACCTGATGGCTAGTAAGTAGTGTTTCATTCTGCACAGTTTTGCCCTTCTATTCACTTCCAGTCCCAGTGTGAAACCAGCTTTGGAAATAAAGGAGGGGGAAGCGAGTGGAAGAAGGGTATGGGGAGTTTAATGCACATTATGAGCTCTTTGAACATCCATTTGCTAAAAAACATCTGGCTTACTGCAGTATGTGTGAGGATGTTCCTTCTGATGTACTTCTATGTCTCTGTGAGCAGTGGCTTTAAGAGCAGTTATCATTGTTGAGAATTTGCCAGTGAGAAATCTTTATATAGTGGGAAGATATTTCCAGCTCAGCAATTTGATTGTGTGGATCAGACTTAGCATCCAGACCATGATTAAGGGCACTTGGCTGTGCCGCATCCCTGCAGCGGTCTTACATCAATGTCATTTTCACAATTGTAGGTTGGAGAAAGGAATGCCCTCTCATTGATTATGCTTTTAAAGCTTTTAGCACCTGAAGACAAAAAAAGACCCAAAGTGTGAAACTAAAATATTAGATTTCTGATATATAAATGTGTCTTTACAATACCATAAAAATAGACTCATTAAAAGTATCACTAAAACTGATAGACAACTCTGTGAAATCTTAAAGAGGTGTGATATTAAAAGACATACAGGTCACAACAAAAACTGTGATGAATTGGCTGCCAAGCTGCATGACCTCTTGCTTTAGATAATGAGAAGATTTGTTTGTGTATGTGGAGGTTTGTGTTTAATTCTTTTGCCTTCTTTTGTTTCTTTAAACCATGTAAAATTTATACCATTTTTACAGTTACCTGTGAATATGAACTCACTGACTAAAAAGAAACAAGCAAAAAAAAAAAAAGCATTCAGACGAAGGAGTGTAAATGTAATGAAACTGCACATGTTGAAGGGTAATGTGAACATTTTTATAATGGTAAAATATCTGATCGAATGGGTTACAAAGTTGTCAGTGGAGGCACACTGCTAGCTCCATGTTAATAGGGTGTAGCGCCCCACTGCCCTCTAAGTCTGAGTTACACAGTTGTTATTTCCTCTCATGTAGCAAATCAACCCACAGCTGTTGTCATTGGCCCTCAAGGTCTGGTTCATCAGCACTGGGTCAGAGATGGCATCCAAATTGATCCCGTACAGGTTTTATTAGGGAAAAATTTGGAGACCTAGCAGGCCGCTGACATGGGCAGCCCATAGACATATGACATATGTTTCAGTCTTGCTCAAGTACGGCACCAGGATTCTGTTTCAGGATGTTACTAACATTATACTGTGTGGTTAGGGTTCCCCAAACCAGAGGTTACCTATAGTCATACCCCATGAATTTCCAAATCATGATGTCACAAATTACAACAGTGTGCATTTTGACAACTTTAGTCAGATTTTTGTCATACAGGTACAAAATGGCCATCCATATTACACCACTACTGCAAATGTAGTTGTCTCTGCTCTGGTGTTAATATAGACATGAGATAGTTAACCCATGGCCTGTCTGATTCCAGTCATCTTGACAGTACAGGATGACATGAGGTACAGTAAGTTTTCCAATACCTGTGTCCAGATGGCAGGAAAAAAGAATGCCATGGGGTTCAATAATGCTTAGAGTACAAAACAATGATTCTATGTTTATGTTGTTGGTTTTGACCCTCATCAAGTATGCACATGCTCCTATAGTGTTTCCAACACTAAACCACTGTCACATCTGTTCCTCCCACATGCTGCACAATACAAACTAACTAGTCCCATGCAGATCAGTAATGCAACCTCTTGTCAAGTGGAAATGTTGTCTAATAAGTTTAAAGATTTTCTGTCTTTGGTAACGTCCACTAACTATTTTGACTGATCTTCAAAGCCTCTGACAGCTGCCTAACAACAGTTTGCTCCATTATGAAGACAGACTTCCAAACCTCTGATGTTAGTTCTCTAGTTCTCTACATACCAGCACCATGCAAATCAAATCATTTGCATGCACATCATTGGTCTGCATGAATAACAAAATACATACAAATCAAACCATTTTTTCTGGGTGCTTGACTTTTGTTAGTGAATATATGTCTTTAAGCTGCTTGGTACCATAACTGTGGTATAGATTTTTTTTTATTTTTAAAATATCTATCTATTCTTGTTTTAGAGATATTGCAATCAGCTAATGAAATGAGATGCTATAAAAATAGACTTTTAATAATATATCTATGTCCATTTTTGTTTTGTTTTTCTTGTAAAGGTGATTCTCTTCTAAAGCACAATGGAATGAAGTTCACCACCAAAGACAAGGATAATGACCACTCGGAGAACAACTGCGCTTCGTTTTACCACGGTGCATGGTGGTACCGAAATTGCCACACCTCCAACCTGAATGGTCAGTACCTGCGTGGTCAGCACACCTCCTATGCCGATGGCATTGAGTGGTCCTCCTGGACTGGTTGGCAGTATTCCCTGAAGTTCTCTGAGATGAAGATACGTCCCACCCGTGACCTTGAGAATAAATAAAACTCACAAAAGAGAAAGAAGATAAAAAAGACCTTTTTAAAGCATTACAAACCACAAATTCTAAGAGTTAGATGGACTTACTTGTCTCAGTAATTTTCTTCTTTTTTTTATAATTGTGTTTAGTTGACTCCACATTTTGCCTCATGGTGCCCTCCTTTTTGCTCCTCTCTCCTCCATCACATAGCTAACAGTCTTGCTGACTGTCCTAACCCTTCATGCAATACCATTATTTAAGAAATATTGTAACTGTGATGCCCAATTTATTTTTTTTAGTTCACAAAAAACAGCCTACCAGAGCCTGGAGCCCACTGTCCACTCCTGCACCTTTACTCAGTCTGATGTAGGAGCCTGCAGAAATCTGTACCAATACTTTTCTGCTGACGTATGACTCTGACCTCCCATCTGTGCTGACATGGCTCCAAGATGGGATCTTTCAGTGCTCTTCGCTGTAAAAGCTGTGACAGAAGAGGGTTCAATCACATATAATAGAACAAAATAACCCCTTCACAAAATATAAGCTGAAAATGCAAACCTTTTGGTTTCATGTGTGGGGAAAGAAAAGGGTGCACTATGTTATACGCACGTCCTTTGTCTGTGTAAGTGAGACCCAGCAGGGTAGTGGCAAGTGCACATCCTCCGATAATGAGAGGAATACAGAGAAAATGAGGCAACAAGCTGACAAGAGTTAAACTGGTTGAAGGAAAAGAGGGACAGGTTAGATCAAAGAGTAGAGGGAAACAAGGAGGTGCAAAAAGAAATGAAAAACTGAGGAAAAGAAAGAGACAATGGAGAATCTCATTCAACTGACTTGGGCCATTAGGGAGCATATTGGGCACTTTGTCTGATCTGCCTGCCAGCTGAGTACTGGCCAACTGATGCAGCGCTCACAGATGGAAACCCAGCACTTGGTGTGTGTAGGTGTGTGTTTGAGAAAGAGCATGTGTGACAGAAAGACAGACAGACTAAACTCCCCAAGACTATCACTTTCCTGGCATTATTTCAGAGGAGTGACAAGACAGAGCATAATGCAAAGCACAGACAGACAGAACACATGCATGGTTGGCCAACCTTTGCTCTGTCCATGTAAGTCTTGGAAACACTACATTTAAAAAAAGGCATGTCAGTCGTAATCTGCAACACAAAGAAAAAGAAAAGTGAAAAACTTTTCCAACCACACAAGACAAAGAAATAATACATCCTGCCTTTCTGAATCTTCAGATTGTTCTTTGTTTTGTAATGTTTCTCCTCTTTTCAGGTGAATATTATAGGATGCTTTTGTGCGGGACACGCTTTCTGCTAAAAGTTGCTGTGAAACTAGATTTGACACTCTTCACCACTTTTCCCTCTTTTTCTTTTGGAGTAGAAATTCTGCAATCTGTCATGGAGAAAGTCGGAGTCTGCCTATAGCAAATAAGAAAAAAATAGTGAGAAAACAAAGACAATGAGGAAAAACAAAGGCAATATGGGTGGAAAATATTGCAGTTGTAACTCTGTCTGTCTTTTGTTTTGTTTTTTACTGAGTCAATCAACTTATTTGGATGATGTAAGAAAAGCTTTAAAACATCTGTAGAATTTCCTGTACAGTGTGTATGACTTTCAGAGCATGTGAATTGTTTCTTACTATGCTAAAACACAAAGAGAGCTTAAGCACATGGACTGAACAAAATCTAGCAGTTTAAAATTGAGAGATGAACTTTTCCTCCTTTTCTACGTGACATGCAGGGAGTGGCTCATGCTGCTCCGAAGGTGGAACAACGAGCAAAAAGAGGACTGTGATTATCCCTCAAGCACACTCTGGTTCATATCTGCAGCACAGACATCCATCTTTTATCTGAAGGAACAATGTGAGGCAGAGATATTTTGGGGGGAAACATTATCTGTCTTGCAGGATGCGTGCAACCTTTTTGGTTAAAGTCACGTGGCACTGGAGCACGGCGCGTCGAATGTGAAATTTGAAGGCTGCCATCTAAGCTGACAGTGAGTTCCTGTGTAGCACCGAGCAACGTTGCACGGAATACCTCTGATCCTGGAACAGCTGTAAGGGTTCTATGTCATCACCGGTGATTCTTGGAAGCCCCCACTCTAACCCACCTCCACACCACTCCACTCCCCTGGACGCTCTGTGCGCTTCTGCGGCGCCTCGGCTGTGTACAGTTCATACAGCTACGCCTCGGTGGGCTGAGGCCACGTCCTCTCATTAAAGCACAGACACTTGTATATGAAAGAAAAAAGATAATATTAGGGCACAGAGTGTACAGTTTCATTTTATTTGTGAGAAGGCACAAAAAAAAAGAGTCGGAAGCGAGGTGTGAATGTATACAAATGTGTGTGTGTGTACATAATGTGCATATAGGCACGTGCTTTGCCTGTGTGTGCACGAGCCAGACAGGAGCGTTGGAGGCCGAGTTTGTCTCGATGTGGAATTTTACGATTAATGTGATGCTTATGTACAACTAGCCTCCCCTGCTGTTTGTGTTGATAACAGAGAGATTTACATTATTCTAATGAGCTATTAGTTATTGTGATTGTGAGCCCATTAGAGTGGACACCACCTTCTGGATACTGTGTTGAACTGCGCCTGTACCCTCAAACTCTGCAGACCCAAATTCTTCGTTCACCTCCACGCATCGTTGTGCACTCTGTATATGTTACTGATGTGTTCCCCCTCTTTGTTATTTAAATGTATATTATTTGTACATGCCCCGCCCCCGATTTGTTTCTAATGCGTGAATGCCTTTATTCCTCTCGATCTTTCTCTCTCTTGCTTTTTTTTCTCCCTCTCTGCTGCCAAGTCTCCAATGGAAGACAAGATAAAAGAGTGAAATCAAATGCTCTAATCAATCTGAGTTATCCCACTCATTACAAATCATCAGCGCCCCCTTTATCGATCCCCACTGGTCCCCAAACCATCTATATTTCCTAGAGTGTACCTTCTTAATTGCCTTAGCCTCTGATGCCAACCCCAGTCCCCTTCTCCATCTCCTGAATTTTCCTCCCTTGTTTCTCAGCTTTGTTTTTTCCCAGCCTCCCTATTTTCCCCTCTCTCCCATCTCCCAGTCTTCATTTTTCCCAGCGCAGAACTAACTCTGTTTTCTCTTTATATTATTTTTTTGGTGAAGTACTATAGATTGTTTTTGCTGAATCTTGATACTGTGTTTTAATGTTCTTGTCAACATTTAATAAACATTCACATTTTATAAATGGAGAACAGCATATATTGTGTAGTTTCTGCCCCCCCCCCCCTCCCACACACACACACACACACACACACACACTCTTTTGGTGCACATAAGCATGCATACAGGGCTGTTGTTGGCATCCTGATGTTTGTGTTTTCTTTTTAAATCTGAAAATACAGAATTGACATCTGCATTTAGAAATACCAACGTGGTTTTGACAAACGCCTAGGCGGACGTGTATCATGACGGCCTTAGGCGTTTTGGAAACATCTATATGTATCTAGCTTTATTTGCTGAATTATTCTTTTTTTTTTTTTTACATAACATCTTTCTTTTTCTAATGCAAACCTAAAGCAATGGATGCAAACTGAATTAAGTTTATGGAACTTAATATCATGTTCACTAATATTAATCAGCAGATTTATAAAACTTCCCGATGGAAAACTGAAGCGTAGCACTTTTTTTGCATTTTACCTAAGTGGGAGTGTTTATCAAGATTAAGTCAAGTTATCAGTGGAAATTAAATTGCTTTTAATTAGTTTTCTCTTTAATCCTGTGCAATCTTAATAGCTCTATAATGCAGTTTTGAT